GAACCGAACAGGACATACACACCTCTGTACGTAACAAAAGTCTTTGATTTTAAAATTGGAAGAATAATTGAATCAGACACAGCGGACGATCCGTGAAAGTTGTATTGCAATTTGCAAATTTGCAAAATTTCAATTGCAAGTCGAAATGATTTAAAAATAAAAAGTGTCCTGAGAGTGTTTCGAACGATGCCACTAGATTTGACTCGTTCTACTTTTACTTTTACTACTTCTACTTTTTTCACTCGATTGAATTGCTGAAGAGTTCGTTTGTTCGATTACGTATTTCATTGATGAAGATTATCCGAATAGATCGAAATGACTCGAGTTGAAATCCTCAAGAAATTTGGATTAGCTTGGAAATAGATCTTTAGAATTAGTAGAATTTGTTAGAAATGAATGGCGGACGAGTTTAAGAGATGGATTTGGAGAACATCTGAGAATCTTCGTGCAGAACGATTCAAATTCAAAGAAATCGGATAGAGATTTAGTATAACCGTTCGATTTATTCTGCCCTCGACGACCCAAACAATAGAAAAACGAGCTTCCTTGTGAATAGATAGTTAGTTGTGAGCAGTCCCGGTTGGTTGACGCGTCTCGGTGAGTCCCGTTGTTAATTTCCGTGTTTAATGTGTCTGATTTTAGTATATGTTCATTCAATCAATTGCAAAAACGTTTTCAAAGTAATCAGAAATAATAATATTAAAATTATATTAAGGTAGAATAAATGTGGATATGTCTGTACATTTTTGGATGTTTCTAGACACGTAAATCTAATAGCTTTTATTACAAATTGACAATAATTCGCTATTTGTCACAATTTATTATATTTCGAATATACCTAAATGTAATTAATTTACTAATCAAGTATAGGCATCAATGATAATTTATTAAATATTGATAGTGATTCATTAGATGTTAAATGTTTCGTTCTTAATTTTTTTGCCAGTATCAATTGCTTATAGAAATAATTGTGAAAATTTTAAATTAGGTGTCTCTGTCGTATAATATTGATGTCAATAGAATCGAATTTAATTTGGCATCGAACTATGTTTATGTTTATGTTTATATTTATCTATGTGTATGTTTACATGTTAGATATCGTTTCTAATTATTTTATTATAATTAGCAATGTTGCGTTTTATTTCATCTTATTAATCACGAATTGTATCAGCGACAAATAAAAATATTTGTCTCACTAGAGTTATAACGTTTCAATTAAAAATGAAATAATTTTTATCGAAAAATTGTAATCTATTTTGTTGATATTACTAAATTATTTACGTCAATACTTATTGGGAGAACTATATTTATTAATAAAGATTGCAATTTGTCATGCAAAGAAACAGCATGTGTCTATTAATAAAAATTCTTATCTGTAAGAAACACATTGCATATTGACAAAGAGTATTTGGTTTTTCAAATTCAATAATTTTCATGTTCATATTGTTTTATCGACGAAGACTATCCAAAAAGATTATATTTACAAGGCAAACATTATTTTATACATTCTACAACATACTTTATTATTATTATTATACAATTATTATTATACATATATATCATATGTATATTATTATATATATTATATATATTATTATTATACAATTTAACATATTACTATTCATATCATTCAATATATTATTCAACATACACATACCATTTTATTTATTATCCATCGAATAATAAAGAACTATTTACTATCGTTAATATTATTACTCGTCATTCAATGTGTGATAGACAATATTTTGCACGTTATCTATTGAATAATAAATAAAGATCATTCAATAATCACGAATGAAAGTTAGATATCGTGCTCTGTGTCTGCTTCCCTGTAAAACAGTTCACATTTTTCATCCCTTTTATTCAGTAGAATATAACAATTACGTGTTTATATATATATGTGTATGTGTGTGTGTGTGTGTATGTGTGTGTCAACGTATACACTCGTGTAACAACGTGTGTATCGTGCTATATTTTTCGCGACGTTGTTGATCATTTTTATTTCATATCCGCGCGTTCGTTATGGAAGTTTCAGCGTTCGCTGGCGGATAACGGCGGGTCATGCCTTCTCGATAGTGAAATTATCGTTACTTTCGTTTATTGTTTATTCGTTGGTGTTGCCGCCTCGGCGAGAAAAATTTCGCGCAACCGTCCGTGATAGTGTATCGGTTTTCGTGAAATTCGAACAGCAAGCCGAATCACCTTGAACGCCGCGAATGGTTGAATAACGAATGCGAATTCCCTTGGTTCGCATTGCATTCGAATTGGCGGTCGTATTCTGTTTATTCATTAATCCAAAAATTGCTATTACACCCGCAATCTTACACTGCGACGTTGGCATTATCAAAGTAATTTTTAAATATTTTCCACTATTTTGCCCTCCACTTGGATTCTATAATTTTACGAAATTTCAAGAGAAATTATTGGTTCTTATCATGATGTTCTTCAATTTAATATTTAAATTCTTCGTCCTTCTATTTTACGAAGCTCGATAAAATTCAAATTTGTTTCGTCGCGTGATTCTTTTTTTTTTTTTTTTTTTACAATTTTTAAAAATCAACTTACTATTCATTTTACGTTATTGAGATCTATTTTTGACCCTCGGTTGTAAGAGGAAACTTGGAAAATTTGCCAGCCTTATGAAGTTTTTATTTCATTTCTTTCAAATCGTTCTCAGACAATTTCTTTTCTACTCCTGGATCTCGTATTTGCTCGATATCCCAATTTTCTAGGTTTTGTTTCTCGATAAGGCAATATGGAAATTATTCTATTTGCTAACAACTTGACATTTATACGTTGCAACTCCTTGAATCTAGGTTTGTCAAAGCTTAGTTTATCTACGTGTCGTTGTACTATTGTGTTTTATCAGTGTACCATTCTCGTTAATAAATCTACTTATCGCAATTAGTAGATTCTACATTTATTATCTAGCCAATTTAATCTCTTAAGATCTACTGTTTGTTGATCGGCACACGCATTTATTATAAAGTAATTTAAAATTCTATAATACTAATTTATCTCTCTCGTAATTGAACAATTTGATCGTAGAGGATTAACTCAAATTCAATTCATTACTTTTACTCATATCTAACTAACTAGTTCTTGAACGAAATAATAAACGTGCAGTAAGTTAATTTAAAAAATTTTTCGAATGATTTTTGAATTTCTAGAAAAATCACAGAATGAATGGAATTTTGCAATAAAGAGGAAATTTAATCTGTTGGGAATTTATAGCAACGCAAATCTTTCGAAACTGTAAATAGTTAAAGAATACTCTCTGCTGAATAAGGAAGATTGGAAATAGCTTCATACTTTATTTACAAATAGGTGTATTTTTATCTACGACAGACTATTTTATGCATATGATTACTCTGCATAGATTATTTTATGCATGTAGTCTTCAGTATAAAATTGATGATACATCATCAAAATAAATATTGACATTTTGGAGTAATAATTTTCCTTTGTACGAGCTTTTACGTACCAAAATGTAATAAATACAATAATTACGTACCAAGTGTAATACAATTTCTCGATTATACAGCAATATATTCTAGTAGATTTATATAGAAATATATGCTAGTAGATAAATATTCGAATAGAAATAAGGGAAATGTTTAATCATATCACTTGTGAAATTAATATCTAGAATTTATCTGTTACTTTAAATCAATCATATTAAAAAATTAATCTAATAAAATAAATAAATAAATGAATAGAACAATTCTTTTTCGTAAATCATTGCTTTCATTGTTTGCTTCGTTCAAATATCCACAAAAATAAACAAAAAAATGTCATGTAAAATTTCCCCCTACACACGAAAATCTTGTGAGATAAAGTTTCGTTCCATTCAACGTTTCAAAAAAAAAAAAAAAAGAAAAGAGAGAAACTATAAAAATCTCCTTATTTCTTAGAGACAAGAAGACGAAATAAAAATTCCTTCTTACGTTAATAAAACTTACAGAAAAATCAGTTCTGTAACTGGTACAGACAGTGGCGAACGTCACAGTTTGATACGGCGATCGTGTAGCGCTTTTCCATCAGGGACACATTCAACGATCATGGGTGTTTCTGTGCTCATCAAGTGATAGTGAAGAGTAAGAGGTCATGTCTTGTGCCGATAGCGATGAATTATCATTATTGCATTTCTTATTGTTTATTTAATACCGTCTCGTTGCTGCTCAATAAAAGAACAGAATTTTATTCACGTGAAACTGGTCGGCTAACAAAGTTGAAAATGTTATTAGGTTCGTGTCATAGGGCAACCGTGTCTCTATCACGAAAGTGATGGCTCTATTATTTCACTGCAACTCTGCTCATAATGCTCGATCGAGCATTCACTGAGCAACAACTGCACGTTAACTGCATGCTAATGTTTTTAGTATCACTTCGTCTTGTTAGGTGTTGATAATTCGTCGAGAATTTCGTTGGAATTTGGTTTGATATATCTATACGTATTCTACAATATATCTTTTCGATTTACAATACATATATATCCTATGTGTATATACATCTACGTAAGGAATTTTTTGTTTTTTATTTATTTAATAAATTACAAATTATAATATATATTACAAGTACAAAGTATAATTTTGATTGATAATAAAATAATCTACGATTAATCCAGGCTTGTTTTATTATTATTAAACTTTTATTTCTTATTTTGTTCATTAAATACTCTTCATAAGAATTATGCTTGTTTTACATTCTATGTTCTTCCGTTTTAAATAAATCATAAATATTCGATGATGATTGTTTTATTATTATTATTCAGCGTACTTGGTTATTTTATTACTAAATATTTTTACACGTGAATTTACGACAGTTTACACGGAATAATTTGAACAAATTATTTTATAAAAATGATTTCGATTATAAATAATACTGTGCTATCTCACGCTCCCCTGACAATAATAAACAAACATTCTGATTGATTGTTCGTTGCCGAAGAAGAGATTGGAAAATCGTGGCTTTCGATGATTTTACAAAATATACAGAATATCAAGCGAAAAAGAAGAAATACTGGATTTTGTTTGATTGAGCAAACGTTTTTGTCAAGTCTCTCGGTTTTAATAATATTGTCAATATTATTAAGGCAAATGTTTAATCAAGCCGTTTGAACGACAGATTTCAAAGTTGAGGTACACATAACGAGGAAATAATGAAGACTTAGTTTTCTCCTTGAAAGAAAAACAAGCCCGTGAAAATATTATTTAACGATAAAAACACCATAATTGTCGGTGCATAATGGAAATAAACGAATAAATTTGGTTAGATTACCAATCTGTTACACGGATTTACAAATAATTCCATTTCATTGAAACAATTCAAACGGACACATCTCTATCTTTCTTTCGAAATAATTCATGTGAAATATTGTTTAAAGTCAAATTAATTAATTCAGTTTGATTTTGAAATCTCGAAATGTAAATTATGCTATAATATCAAATAATTAAATATTATACTATTAAATAATTAAATTAATATAGATTATCAAGTATTTATAACTGAATATGTCTACTATTTTCTTTAATAATCGACGTATTATATTTTTTTATTTTAGTATAATCATTAGCATGCTATTTAGTACGCTATATTGTCTAACAATTTTATTTTCTTCCGCTTGCAGATCGAATTTAACCATGGCGGATGATAAAACTACGGCCGATGTGAGTATTGAAAATGACTAATTGTAAGCAAATCGAGGATGGAAACAAAGAAACAAAGCTCCGTTCGAAATTTCCTTCAGGTAACACCCAAAGAAAGTACAGGATGGATAGAATCGCTAATTGTCACAACGGTGCAGACTTCCGTGGGTCAGACATTGTTCAAACTCGTAGACTCGTTTTTATGGGTTGTCGAAAAGTCCGCACAATGGAGCTTACCAGCTCAGGAGGTCGCGGCCGGTACGTTCGAATTATTCTTACGAATTACTCTATCATTGTCATAACCGAGGATATCCAGGAATTAAAAATTTAATTTTAAAAATTGAGAAAAATTGAAAATCATTAAAAGTTTATTACAATTTAACAAAGATCATTGTACAACTTGGAAATTAGATTTTAGAGGAATTTGAAGATTATTCTATCCTTTCAAAAATATTCAGAGAACAATGAAAATTGAACGATTATTATTTTATGTATTATTGCGTCATATATATAATTTTCTACATTATTCTTTATTATTATATTTATTTCATGTGTCATTTTAATACTGTCCTTGTATATAATATTTCATGTTTTATATTACTTTACGTGCATATATTTTTCGAATTAATTTAAGCAGTACAGAAATTACTTTATGAACGCTGTGAATATTAATCTCTAACGTTTGCATGGTAAAACAGAGGAGAATGGCAAGATATTTGGGAAGATAGAACTCGTGAGACCTCTGCCGTGGTTGCTTTTTCTACCGGGATTAGTGATCCTTCGAATCATTAGAGTCGGGCTCAACGTGGGTGCTTATATTCTGGGCTACCCACGGATGCAAGCGAGCGGAATGGTACGTTGTGACAAGTTTTTAATTTTTAAAATTAAATTTTGTAAAACTTATAATTGCTTCGACGAATTCGCGATTTTTACGCGTTGATTGAAAGGCGTAAAACTATACGTAGTGTTACATTCATTTAGATGTAAATATAAAATTGAAATTTAATAGTCGAAACACAAAGAGTTCAACTAACAATAATTCATTTAACATTCTATTGAAAAATTCAGTGTAGAAAATAATTCCTGACGAATAAAACGAATATCTCTATCCCTTTGAGTTTCTACTTTCAAGTCCTGGATTTTTCGCAATTCGATAATAGCCCAAACGCGCGAAACCGAAAGTTACCGACGAGACTGTATAATTGTTTAAAAAGAAATTAATACCAATCCAGGTAAAATTGGTGCAAAGGAGTCGCAGGCGGTTAAGAGCGATGAATCTGAAGGCAGTGAAATCCAGGCGCAGAACGTTCAACAAGGTAAACCAACTCATCCTTAATTTCGTTGCATTCTTTTTTCTTTTATAGTTAGTCTATTTGAATATCGATTTGGTAATATGTTTATATGGTATACTACATTCGTGCATGTCATTCTATTTTTGTGATTCCTGTATTCTCTTGCGACGATTTATAAATATTAGCACCAGAATCTTGAAATTCTACCTCATTGTCTCATCAGTTCTAATGTTAATGTGTCGTACGTGATTGTTCGTCGAGTGTGTTGAACGAGCTTAACAAGTAGCTAGATTTGAATTAACGTCAGACTCGGTTAGTATTTAGACACATAATTAAAATTAGCACGATAATAGTCTCGGTGATGGATATAGGACAAGACGATGATCGAGGCCAAGAAGGCCCTGATCAAATCCATCAGATTGACTCTGTCGACTTTGTCTTGTCTGGAAACGTCCAAGTCGTCGCATTCGCCGCCACCGACGAAAATTCGCATAAGTCGCACGGATCTCGAACCAGTAAGTAAAAGATTCTTTAGATCGTTTGTTGGAAGGCTTGAGATCATTTCAATTTCATTCGAACACCATTATTCACGACATTAAGTATTCGTTTTTACAAATTTTCTTCTCCCCTCGCATTCAAACGAGTGAAATTGAATTCAAGAGTTTAATTAAACGCGACGAAATAATTCGAGATAAGATCATTTGCTTATTCGAGTAAATTAACGCGTAATTGTTTTTATGTATGGTTAGATAACTATCAAATCAAATGAACTGTGTGATAAATAGCCAAACAAGTTGTGCTATTTTTAAGCAGTATATCATTCAAATAATGCTTCAACCTGGTTGTAAATCCACTTTGATCCAAGTAAAATTTGTTTGGGCTGTTTCTGTTTCGAATACGATAAAAGAATAATTAATGCGAATAAGCTGTACGATTTTTAATCTCACGGCTAAATAAGCTAATAATGGCAACTATGATCCGAGTAAGGTTTGTTTGGAGTATCGTCTGATTATGTGTCTAATCATTTTTGTAGTAATTTTCTATATCCGTTTCTTAATCATTTTCTATGGCCACTGTCATACTTGTGTACTAACTGTATAATACGGACTATTGATTATTTTTCAATTAGCCATTAGCAGTGTATTATTCGTTGTTATTTATAAATGTGTCGAACGATGAATAGGCACCAACATCAGAATCTGTCGGCAGTCCGATACACCAGGACGCAAAGCGTAAATATTCTCAAATGAGTTTGGATGATGAGAGCACCGAGGAATCAGAGAACGAGACCACACGTGCGAAACTTGAGAGGCTGGCAGACTGCGAGAGCGCGGATGATATCAGTTTCAATGTAAGTACGGTGTAAATCGCATTTATTTTAATGGAAATTTTAGTCAACTCGATTAAATGACCTCCTGTTGGTTGGTCTCCATCTATTTTATACAGAACCTGAACTCTTAATTACATGAACGAGGAACGATTGATAATGAGGAGAATCAATAAATTCTAAGAAATTTTTTTCCATTTCTAAGAAATTTTAAGATGAAAAAATGCACAGAATGTGCGTGTAATATGCAAAAAAATATAAAAGGCCCAAAGTACGATACTTTGTGTAATAATGAGAGAAAACAGATCAACAGATTGATAGAGGAAATATTTTTCTGTCTAGTTTCGCTTTTTCTAAAATTCAAATTTTACTTAGAAAAATATGGATTTTTTATTAAAAATCTAGTAATAACCAGATTAAATCTTTGTGAATTATGTACATTTCCTGCATCTTTAAATTTCTTTCATAAACATTCGCAGTATATATAACACAAATAAGATTCCTAAAAAAAAAAAAAAAAACAGGGCCATTTATAAAACCATAGATAATCTAGAATAAAGGGTATTAAATTTTGTAATTCTGTAATTCTTTACGGAATTTCCATATCTTTTTTCTTTCTTCCAAATCTTACCAAACTATTTGCACATCAACTTTTTTCGGTCTAGAAGGTTAAATATTAAAAGAAAAGGTTTTCCACACACAAAAAGGTTAAATGTTAAAAGAAACGGTGTGGCGAGTATTGCCCTCAAAACAATATGAAAAACGAACAATATGGAACAAAACAATAATCAACAGACTCGGGGGTTAACGACCGAGAGCCAAAATATTGAACATTTCAAGACCTAGATAGATTTGAAAATTCATTTTTTTTTTTTTTTTTTTTTTTTGAGAACGGTATTCCGAGACGGAACAACAACGATCATCAAGTGTTCCTGGTAATTTTAATCAGCAATTTTCAGCGAGAGAGGACATTTCCTGGTTCGACATTTGGTCAAATATTTTTCGTATGAATTTTCAGCCTATCGATTGTAGCACAAGCAGCACAGGGAGCAGCGAATGCGAGACGAATAAAGAGGTGTCTATAACAGAGTTGAACGAACTTCGACAGGAGGCTGGAGAATTGTTCGAGAACAGCAAGAACAAGATCGAAGACGGGAACAAGGATCTGCCAGTGAACGAGAACGTGGTAAAAGCAATATATAAAAGTAACAGTCTTGTGCTAGCTCTATATTTCGTGGATGTAAAAACAATTTGAGAAATTCACACTTTCTGTTGTATCTAGCGATGTGATAATAATTACAGACAATGATCAACGATGACATGTAAGAAACAAAGTCGCATTAGAATTAGAGTGTATATTTATTTAGACAAGTTTTCGAATGATTCGATTGATTTTAAATTTTGCATGTATCTTGATGATTTTTTTAAATGATGTTACACAATCTTTCCCTCTTTCTCTAGAAACATCGATTTCTAATTTAATTTTCTAATTATCGGTATTTAAAAAAAAAAAAAAAAACGATCTGTCGAAATCGATGTGGGTGTGGTCTTTCTTCTGCAAGTTGACGCAATGAAATATTTTGTTTCTTGCTTTTCGCTTGAAAAGGAATTTTTCCATCATTCGAATCACCTTGCAAATATCCCTCTGTCGATATATCTCCTCCCGCCATTCGTTTGATCGATCGTTTAACATCGGTATGTTCTCGTGAACAATTTCAGGAGCCGAATTCGAAGAACGTCGAGATGACGGAGGACAGTGTGGAACAGGACGTGGACAGTTCGGGTGAGTCCGTGTATTGGTCAGCAATGGAATTCGATGAAGACTGTGACACGATGTTTAACGGGGCCATACTCGGTTGCCCGAGTGGTTCACCAGGGCAATCGTTGTCTATCGAGCCAATCGTTTCAGTGAACCACTCTTCCAGCCGATGAGGCAAGGATTCTGACTAATTTTTAATCAAGTAATTTGATCAGAATAAAGATGCGTTTCGTGCAGAATCATAATGAAATGTCTCGTGGATCATTTTTCAATAATCTGTGGCGTCTGAATGTGAATGAGGATTACTGTTTCTCGTGTAGAACCCGTTGAAATCGCGACATCAAACTAAATTACATACCTCTCCTCGTACGATCAAATTTCGATAATTTGAATCTCGAGAAAAAGAAAGAAGTGTGGAGAAGTTCTTTACGTTTTTTTTTTTTTTTTTTTTTTTTTCGAGTTTTCAAATAAAGTAGGTTTTACACTAGAATTGAGGTGTAACACTGAAACTAGTTTAAAATCGTAGCAGATAAATTAGGGTGCAAGAAATTACAAAGTGATCGTTTCGATTACTTTGATTCCAGTGAGTTCTAGTGTTAACAATACTTTAATAAAGTTAACAAAAAATTTTGACTTATAGAGATTGTGCGGTTAATTGTTAATTTTCCTCGAATTAATCGCGAAGGAAATTTCTCTTTGAAATTACTATATCGAACTTACTATATCATTTTAGTCGATAATTTTTTGCAAAGAGGTTTTGCAAAGAAGAATTCACAAGTAGTTGCAGCTTGTATTAAGTAGCTTCTCCCATAAGTTTTTTCACTCTGTGTTCGCATTTAAAGAAGAAATTCCAAGAAATTCCGTTTAACAAGTTAAGTGTCATTTGTTTTGTCCTTTTCAGTTTGATATTATAGTAACATGTGATGTGATGATTTAATTTGATCGATCATTTTTCTAAAATGGGAAGTTTATCAAAGAATTTTTCGTCTTTTTAGAACCACAAAAGACATCCTGTTCGGTAGATAAAGATTCCATCAATGGCAAAATAAATTCCACAGATGAAGTGGACAAAGGTATTTGAACTATTTTATTTTAATTGCTTTTAATTCTTGATATCTTTGACATCTCATATTTTTCAAGCTTTTAAATATTTCATAGTGATATATATTTTTATCAATTTTTTTATGTTACAAGCATATGTATATATTGCGTGTATCTTCATATTCCTACATGTTGTAAATCATTTTTTATAACGATGCGCATTTGTTTTGTTACTGTCTTATCGTGTAATATATTATTTATAGCAATTATCTTTTCAGAGTTAAATTTTTTTAACTTCAAGTTTTAATAAATTGTCGAATTAAGTTAGAAAGACAACATAATCAAAATTAGAATTTCTTATAATCAAATGAAAGGATAAAAACAGTTAAAAATTGGCGTTTTGACGTTTATCTATGAACATATGAACGAATTTAATTTACATTCAAAATTATAAATTATATTTTATATTGAAATTATAAATTTTCATTTATATTTTATAAATTTATAAATTTATATATTATATTTTATAAATTTTCCACATTTTTACTCTGAATATTGTTAGTAGGTACGACAGTGAAGCCAGATCCATTGAAAGTGACACCAGAAGGTACACCTGAAGTTACATTAGAAGCAGCGCCAGAAATTATACCAGAAGTTAAATCAGAAGTGACACCAAAAGTTAAATCAGAAGTGACACTAGAAGTTACACCAGAAGTTACATCAGAAGTGATACCAGAAGTTACACTAGAAATTATACCAGAAGTGACACCAGAAGCTACATCAGAAGTTAAATCAGAAATAACACCAGAAGTTACATCAGAGGTTAAATCAGAAGTAACACCAGAAGTAACATCAGAAGCGATACCAGAAGTTACACCAGAAATTACACCAGAAGTTACATCAGAAGTTAAATCAGAAGTAACAGCAGAAGTAACCAATGGAGTAATCATCGAAAAACAGACTCCACAATCAATTCCTATCCCATCATCAGATTGTACACTATCAGAAGCTACTGCGCGTGCAAGAGTAAACTCTGCAAATTTTCAAGAAAAGAAGAGTAACAAAAAAAAATATGGACGTCACAGAGACAAGTAAACCTCGGTTTGGAAACTTAGCCTAGATGGAAGAAGCATTGTTCTATCGTGTTTTAACGTTCAACGTTTCTCATCATTCAACGTTCCTTTAAAAAACGGGAAAAGGAAAATTGAAAAGAAGAATCCTCATCACATCTTAAATTCTACGATTCTTTTCTCTTATTTTCCTATTTTTTTTTTTTTTTTCTTTCAGCGATCACATTATTGATAAAACGAATTCTATTAAATCTAAATATTTAGATTAGTATTCGAAATTTCAACAACTTGTCCAGTTGTACAATGTTTGAGAGTTTGCATTTGCTAATATTGGTATTTAAAATTTCAATAATTCCAATTTGTTAATTCCAATTTAATAATTAAAATGAAATTTTTATACTCAACACCGCCAACATTAGTACTTAAAATTATAGCGATTCAAATTTATCAAATTGATAATTAGAGGAAGGAGTTAATTAGAGGAAATTACTTTGACTACTACTGAGTCGAAATTTCAATAATTCTAACTTGTCAATTAAATAATTCAAGATTAATAATTATTTATGAAAGATAATTACTTATACGTAAGTACTGAGTGAGCGTCAAACCAGTATTCAAAATTTCAACAATTCTAATTCGTCAAGTTAACAATTGAATCTGCATAATTCCGCATAAATTCTGCATAATTTCAGCAATTCCATTTTATCAATTTAATCATTTGACTACTATTAACGCTTGTATTCGAAATTTCTCTACCCTACTATGAAAAGAAACTTACAGTGAAAGGTATCCTGATTTTTTTAAACGTATAATTCTCTGAATAGAAGGAAACTTGTCTCATTTTTTTATAGAAATTAACTCGAGAATTCTTACCTCGTTTAATTCATTCTGAGCTGCGTAAATTTGAAAAATTCCTGCTCCACGCTTTGTTAGTAAGTTTTTTTTTTTTTTTTGTGAAAATATCGTTAGGGAACAAAGCGATCGTTACGAAAGCTTCGAAATATCACTAACGCGACTACCGATAAAAAAAAAAAAAAATTCTGGCAGATAACAGAAAATAATTGGTTGAGGGATTCTGGCCACGTAATCATTTGTCGCGATTGCAATTTTCCATGTATGATAAACTATAAAAAAATAAGGACGAAAAGAAAAATCAAAGTCACTATTGGAAAATGAGCGAAAACTATGTCAAAAGAGTTGGTAATATTTTGAAACATGAAGGATTATTTTTGAAAGGAAAGAAATTTGTAAAAAGATAAAAATTTGTAAGAACATGAAAATATAGAAATAGTTGGTAATTCTTGAAACATCAGAGATTATCCTTAAAAGGAAGAAAAGAACAATCGTGATTTATTATTAGAAATGAAATTCTAGTTTTTAGAGCGTGGAATG